TGCTACTACTGTAGGAAAACCACGTGGAACAAAAAATCCTCAAGATATATATATATCTAAGATATATATATATATATATATATATATATATATATGGCTGATATTGGACCAAATGTAACATATCTTTTGGCTTTCAAAATTCTCACTTAATCTGACAAACATATATATATATATATATAATATATATATATATATATATATATTAAGGTGGTCCTTAAAATGGTCATTTTCGAATTTCCTTGCTCCCAGGGGCTCAAATGGTTCCAGATTGATAAAAAACAATTCTCTGAAAGTTTTAGCTCTTAATATTAACGTTTAGATAGAGCGCAATTCAATCAAAGTTTGTATGGAAATAGCATGGGAAATTTTTCAAAAATTTCAAAAATGTTTTTCAGAAGTAATTTAGCGAACAAATGAATAAATAACTCATTCGAAAATGACCATTTTAAGGACCACCCTAATATATATATATATATATAAATATATATATATATATATATATATATATATATATATATATATGTTTGTCAGATTAAGTGAGAATTTTGAAAGCCAAAAGATATGTTACATTTGGTCCAATATCAGCCAAAAAAATTACAGTTTTTGTGTGAATGGAATGGCAGATGCATTATAAACAAGGAAAGAAGCGAAAAATAGATTATACATTTCCTTAGTGAATATAATATGCTCTCGAGAATTAATAAAATTAACAAGTATAAAAATAATTATATCAATACTCGAATAATCAAAATATTCGAGTCATAATACCTATAACATTAATATTTCATACACAAATGATTTTTAAATCAAATTTGGCCTAGCGTTGAATGAAATTTATAATAATTAAACACAAGTATGGATTGTATAATTGTGTTTAGTCATTAAAATAAACAACGAGAGATATATTTGTGCTTATACATTACAGTATGATCATTCGAAATATTTTGTTCAATCATATCGTTCAATTGTAAATTATGTTAATTGCGTTAAATATGTAAATTATTTTTAATTCTCAAGAATATTGTAAAAACTGTTGTAGAGTACTTTGAAAACTATAAAGATTGTAAAACATTTTGTAACAACTTTGACTAGTGAAACCACATATAAATTGGTAAATTGACACAGCACATTTGCACATTGGTGACCTTTACATGAATGACTAGAGAGCGTATCTCCTCACTTATATGAAATAAATGATAACCCTGTTTTAGTGGCAATTTTTTATTGTCGATCACCTGCCATAAATAGTTGATATATTATTTTTAACAAATGAAAAAAGTTTATTATTGTATATGCCTCTACTCTTGCAAATATTTAAATAATTGCATTAATAATATTAATTTACTATAAAGGAAATATCAGATTTGCTTCATTAAAGCGTTTGGAATAAATAAAAATCGGGTTGCAATGATTTCAAAGAACAAGTACTGTAGTTGATAGATATTGATAAAACCATAAAAAACAATAATAATTTTGATTATGACGAACAGTTAAAATAAAAAAATAATGGACTGTTCCAATAAATTTGTATTTATTCAACAACTCAAAAACCTAATACTATCCTCAGTAATATCTCACAAAAATTAAATTAATTAAAGTTCTAGATGCATTATTTTATGAAAGAATATCTCATCAGTATACGATAGGTTCAAGAAAATAGGAGGTTCCTAACAAATTTAATATTTTTAATATTTTGTAAAATAGTAGATTTGTTATTAAACAATAAGTACTATGATATACAAACTTTAATTTTCTTGTCCAGAATTCATTTATAATTGAACAAATTCTTATTGAAAAATACAGGCCAAGTGTGCAGAGAATTTTTTAATGAGCGACTCTAACAATAAAATTGTCTTGTGCTATTACTGACCATCTTTCCGACGTTCTACATAAATGTAGAAAATCTTAACGTTATTCTCATTGTTTGCATCAAAACGACCAGAAAGCGTAACGAACTGCGTTAAATAACAATAAAACTAGTAAAAACGTTAGAAACACAATTTCTATATAATGTTCAAAACGAAAGTATGATTTATCAAAAAAATAATATTAGTTTTTTCAACACATTCTGTATCTGTTTCCTCAAATTTACTCTAAGCTATTAACATCAATAACAACTTCTAGTCGACTAAAGTTACGTTCACAAAATTTGAAAATCATTTATTATAGTAATAATTATTAGTAATTATTAATAGTAATAACTAGTGGTGCATGACATCGTGTTTTAAAGCAAATTGCTGAAACTTTCCGTACAAAATATATATATATATTTTTTTTAAAATGCCCTAAAAATTTTTGAAAACTTTGAAAAAATGAGATTTTTGAAATAAATGACTTTTGAAAAATTAGATTTATTTTATATTTGAATATTTTTCGAATTTTTTTTGACAATTTTGAACTTTTTTGAAAGCGATGGTGCTGCGTAGCTGTTTTAGAAAAGAAATATCGAAGCGCGTAACAGCCTCTTCGCACTCTAAAACGGATAAACATTAGTACGGAACCCATAAAAATTTAAACTAAATTTATACTTATTAATAAAATCTCTATAAAATATCTGATAATTTAATACGCACATGTCTAATGATAATTTTTGACCCTCAAATGGCTTTTTTTTAATTTTTTTAATCGATTTTCGAAACCGCTAGATCTGCCTTTCCAAAAATTTAATTTTTCATCATTTTGTTAAAACAAGTAAAATGTTTTCTGAATTATTGAAATTGGACGCTCCGTTATCTCAAAACTGATTATTTTGCGATTCTTATAACTTACCCTACGTGAAGTTAAATAGTAGTAAGTAATTATAATATTTATATTTTACTCTATACTAGTGGTAATCAGAAAGTAAATATCATTTTCAGTCAATAAAAATAAAAAAAATAAAAAAGTTATAAATTACTGTCTAATACTATTAATAAGTATTTATAATTCTAAATTCA